TCCCAGGCAGCACTTTTCTTTAACAAATTGTACAATGGTCTGGCTATAATGGCAAAGCCAGGTACATGTTTTCTCCAAAACCCCAGGGTTCCCAAATCTGTCTCAATTGATCTTTACTTTCAGGGAGGGTGCCTGATTTAGCTCTTGCACAGTGTCATTAGGCACAGACCTCCTACCTCCCATCCATACAGTACCTAAGAATTTTATCTCTTGGGAGGGACCTTGGCATTTCTCAGCTGGTAACTCTAAATTAAGGGCTTCTAGTGCTCCTTTGATTTGATTCATAGCCTCCTGTACCTCTTCTGGGGTTTCCCACCTATTAAGATGTCATCAATGTATTGCACAGTTTGTACATTGGGTGGCAGGATAAGGTCATCTAGGACCTTTGCCAGTGCCCCATGGCAAATAGTGGGTGAGTGTTTAAACCCTTGTGGCATTGGGTAAAAGTGTATTGTACACCTTTCAAGTAAAAGCAAATCTTTCCTGGTCAGCTGGTTGCAAAGGGACCATGAAGAACATGTCCTTTACATCTAATACTGCTAGCCAGGGTTTATCCCAGGTTTGTATGGTGTTTACAATATCTGTTATGCTAGGGACTGCTGCAGTTAATGGTCCAGTGTTACTGTTTAGCTTCCTATAGTCTATAGTGAGTCTCCATTTGCCATTTGGTTTCTTGATGGGCCACACAGGAGAATTAAAGAGGTGGGTACGAATTAAAATTCCTCGCTGTTCCAAATCTTTGATAGGTCAGTAACAGGGCTTATGGCCTCAGCTGGACATTATACTGCTTTGTTTGTTACTTTGGGGGGGGCGCGCTGCTAAGTAAGTTTACAGATAGTGGGGAGGGCTTCCTCTTCCAGGTGGGTGGGAGAAAGAATGACTCAAAAGCCTCTTTCCCATTAATCCTTCCTCTTTCCTCTTAAAAATCATGCCATATGTTGGCATTGGGGATATCAGTTTTATCTTAACTAATGGGTAAGTTATGGTATGCCATTTACTCCTGTAACAAGTATCGCTTTGGCAGTAGGTGGAGCCCTGAAAACTTTTCGCTTAATCATGACATTTGAGCCCTGTGTCCATTAAGAAGGATAATTGTTTGTCATTTAAGTTACGTATCGGGGTCTTTTGTTTGTTTTCTCCTCTTTGGATTTAAGCTGGTTTATTAGGAGAGGAGATTGACCCAAGCTAGTTTCCTGTCTGGTAATCAGTTGAATGGAGTATACAGGGTAGGTGGGGAAGGGAGGGTGCAGAGATGGAGTAGCAGTTGCTCCCAGTCTCTTTAAAGGTGGTGAATAATTTTAGCCTCTGTGGGCAGTTCATTTATAATCTCTGGATAACCTAAAGCCAGACATTGTTACAACTGCTAAGTCCTCCTCCTGGGTTGGTCTCGTTGTTTTTATGTCCTTTAGATGGTGCCCCTTGTTTCCTGAAGGAAATCTTAGTTTGTAGTGTCTGATGTTCGATTTCTAAAGTATGAACAGAAGGTTTAGTAGTGCCCAAGGTACTGTTATTGCTAGTTCGCTAAGGGAAGTGCCATAGCCCTGTGGTTACTGAATCTTAAGAGGGGTCTGAGTCATCTACACTACCTGACCTCCCATGGGCTTTCATAGCTAACCCTTGAGGGTTTTGGCCAAGCATGTAATGACAGCACAGTTAATAGAGCTTTTTTACCTCATCTATGTTGGTCCAGTGCATTAGTGGGTTCATCTCGGTCTGCTGGGTAAATTCCTCTTGCCCATTGACAAGCCAGAGAAAAGTGTTTTAGGGTGTCCCCTCTGAGTGTTCCAGGAATATTCTGCACCTAAGTTAAGGGCTCAGTTTCTTGGGCTGTCAGGCTTATATCCACCCCCAGTGTCCCAGAGGCGGACCAGCACTTATTATACCTTCCTCAGGCTTTTTGCAAAATTCCCTGGATTGTTTTTAACTCATGGGAGTATATTGGGGTGGTAATTTTGGTAAAGTGTGTTGGAGCTTTACCCCTTTTCCTTTTACCTCCTTCTTTGTTTTTGAAGAGGTGGATGGATAATTGTCATCCTTCTTCACAGTCTGCCCCACTCAAATTTTCCTCATGTTCTTCTGATTTGTGTTGTGATGCTGGTCTTAATTTTACAGAGGACCTCCTCTCAGAGGAGGGGACTCATCTGCTGAATCCCAAATGTTCCATCCCATTCCTCAGGGTTACAGAGAGAGTCTCAACTTTAGCGTTGATACTGCGTGTTTTAGTCTCCAGTTTTCCTCGTTCTATCCCTTCTTTCTCAATTAAGGGAGTAATCTTTTGAAGATGTTCCATATCCCTATTCAGTGTTCTTATCTGGTATCTAAATTCTGGCATTCTTATGTGTCCCTTTCCTGTTGTAGCCTATTAAATTCTATTGCCAGACTATGTAATCCTTACAGGAGCTTGCCAAATGTTAGTAAGACATATACAAGCACCTTTTCCTTCCCTTTTCATTTGAGGAGTTCTCCAGTTACGAATGCTGCCAATTCTGCTGGTTTTCCCATATTTCTCCAGAGTTCTTTGCTCCCAGAGGTTTCCCCATCCCTCTTGGGTCAAACTTTTCTCTAGCTCAGGGAATTCTTGGTGTTTATCATGACTGGTTTCATTGTGTTACTGTACTGCAGCCTATATCACATCCTGTTCGTGAGCCAATTCTGTTAGCACGGCCAAGGATGTTTGGTGAGTGCAGCTATGCCCGTTTATACCATCCGTGACTTTAACGTAGAATGCCCGGGGGCAGGGCTAGGCTGAGGCCCCAAGGTCTAACACTGACTTTGATGCTAGAGCTCAGCTGGGGCAGTCAATACTGACTGAAGCCCAATGAACTAAGCCTCTCCACCCCGTGATTTAACTGCTAGACAGCCTTGATGGGCGCCAGGATTGATACAGTGCCCCAAGAGTTTGCCCTGCAGGAGACAACTCAAGCTAGGCTCTTAGTGTCTCACCTAAGCCAGTTTAGAGCCAAAACGGCTAGGTTCTTTAATTGTGATGGCTGCTTTACAGTAAACCAGAAAAACAAGTCAGGTTATGCAAAATGGTTACCAAAATTTATTAAGCTAGTTCTAATCATGTGGTTACAAATTGCTAGCCTACTTATTTAAATGTAGAGATTTCACACAAAAAAGTAAAAACTAACACAATAAAAAAGAAAAAAAGTATAGAGTCTATTTAAAATATGTGTACATAAAGATAGGGATAGGTGGGTGTTACTCCTTGATTCTCGATTCAGGGTGCAAGCCAGGATGGTCACTCAATTCCGAAAGAAATAAGGGAAAGGCGTAGACCTCTTAGAGAAGCCTTGGGAGGTGTCACTTATTGACCAGCAGATAGATAGTGAAAGCATCAAAAATCATGGTGTGTAGGTCCCCTACTTATACCTCTGTACTCCTTTATTCTCTTTCTCCTTTCTTATAAATTGAGGTGGTCTGTGGGGTGACGAGTTTGCAAAGTAGTTTACACTTGCAAGGGAGAGAAACAATAAGTTTCGACTACTGGACATTTCTTTTATCAGGGTAAATATTGTCCACCTAGGATGTTGTGTGTGTGCATCAGTATTTAGTGGGGCTAAGAGCCAGTCTGTCACAGGGCCCTGCCTGCTGTGAGCTTAATCGTCTATTGTTCCCAGAGGACATTGTAGCAGCACACCTGTGCTTCAAAGGTGTGTGAATATATGTTAATGCCCTGTTCCTGCTTCCTCCTGTGTTTCCAGCAATGCTGGTCTGAGGGGGGGGGGCTGGCTGTCTGGCTACACCTTCCCAAGTCAAAATTATTTTATCATCTGCAAATAAGATCTAACTTGCTAAAGGATTATGATGCAATTGTTTATTTCTATTCCAATTTATCTATTCCAGTCTGTCAAACAAACTTATTGATGAAAAGGAGCAGATGGCATTAATTTCATAAATTTGTTAAGCCCAACTATGTGCTATCTAGAATACAGAAGACATGGTTCTTGCACAAAGAACCTTGCAGTGTAAATAAACAGATAATGGAAAATCCACTTGGAGACCCAGAGGGAAGGTTCTGTTTTAATGGTGGTTCAGCTTGGTTTTATAATAGCTGAGACATTGAAATTTTACTGACATGGGTTATCATTAATGGGCTTTGCAGAGGCCGTTATGTTAGGAAAGTTCCAGGTGTAGGTGGACGGCAAGGAAAGATGTATAAAGATGAGAATGAGAGCATTTATTTTATATATTTATAAGATGTTGAGGGCCATAAGTCTTAAGCATTTGAGAAGAATTGAGAAAAATCAGAAGAGAATGTGGGAATTACATTAGAGAGGCAGAATAACACAAATTGTCAAAGCTTCTACCTTATAACAACTGGTAAAATTTACTCTTATGTACATAAGGGTGTTGCACAGGTAGTCTGTCACCCTGAAAGTCCTGTCTGATTATTTATTTATTTTTGGATAAAATAACATACACTAGAGATGCAGGGTAAAACCTTAATGTTCACTTTGTGAGTGTTGATTTCATAATTCCTTTAGGCAGGAACTTTCTTTTCAGCTCTAAGCACATTATCAGTATTCAGCAAAGAACTAATAATACAATGAGGTTGAGGGAGTGCTGGGAGTATTCGTTCAAAATGCTGTCAGAGCTGCTTGATACAGAGGTAAAAGCATTACCAACAGCTTGGTTGCAAAACAAAAGAATAAGAGAAAACAATAAATTGCTTTACATTTGCTTTTGACCACCATCTGATAGTTCTTAACTGAGAACTAGAAATACAGTGAGCCATACTTCAGTGTGAGATTCTACTCATGGTACTATGACTTGGAGAGGAGTAGGGAAGAGTATCTATAGGGAAAGATCTATGGAATAATGGCTAAGGCGAGAATGGTTCCTGAATAGTGTCCATAAAGAAAAATTGTCCTAGCTGTAACAGTACCAACATAACATGTATAACAGTATATGACATCTTATGTACCTCATTCATCAGTAAACAGTGTATTTAAATAAATGAGGAGGACTAATTATGATTTTTTTTCCCTTTTAAGATCTATTCAAGTGAAGTCATGAACTACACAGCTGAGAATATTTGCAAGTGGGCTCTAGAAAACAGAGAGACATTTATACGTTGGTTGAGACCACATGGAGGAAAAAGCCTTCTACTAAACAATGAACTGAAGAAGGGACCAGCACTTTTCTTATTTATACCCTTCAATCCCTTAGCAGAAAGTCATCCTCTTTTAGATGAAGTAAGTGAGATATATTATTATTTCTTTTTATTGTGGTAGAACATGCAGGCCCCAGTCACGGATCTGAGTCCCATTGTGTTGACACTATACAAACATAGAAAAAGGTCTATATGAGGAGGGTTGCTTCTACTCCATAAAGATATAACTTGAAATTATATGTATTGATACAGATTGGGTGACATTTATGTGTTACTTGATGTCCCAGAATAGTGTAGATTGCTTATACTGGGTCTGATTCTCTCCTCCCCCACCCCCCCGCCCAAAGTTTGTGGTTTGTGAATACTTAATGGTAACAATTATAGATCCCAATTCTCATGAAAAACAGGGAGAGGGGAATGGTTACTAGTGTATATTTTTTTCATATTGAGTTAGTTAAGTGAACCTAATGTTGCCATTGAGAAATTGAAAGGATTTATTATGGTGCCTTCCAATGGAAAAAATAGTAGTAAAGAACATTTAACCCTATAAATCCCAGGGTGGTCCTTGCTATTCTATTGGAAAAACAATATCAGATTATAAAGAAAGATTGATGCAATCTTTTTATATTTTTAATTTATATCCATCTTACTTACACGCTTTATTCTCACCCTCTGTTGAAAGGGGACATTCCTGGTCTTCGGTGTGTTTTCTCAATGGGCTGAAGGACCAGCCATTTTTATATATGAAAGAATCATCATTGTAATGCCACTGGTATTTAAAAAGTTAATTGTGACATTGATGTTTGCTGCTGTCTTTGTATTGTCCAAAGTCTTAAGGCATTGTTTCATCTGCTTGAACCCAGTTAACCTTGTTTACATGCACTAATTTGATCTTAAGTGGCACTTATGTAGAATTATTGTAAATTACCAGTTTCAAAGTCAGTTTCAATAATATCTAGCCTCAAACTGGGCATCTGACACTAGAAATGGCTTCGTTAATAATCCAGAGGTGTTTTCTTGAGTTGGCAGAGCATGATTCCCAGTCAAATTTCCTCTTTCCTTTCTCTCTGCTAAAGAAATTAAACCAACATAATTCTAAGATTCTTGCTTTGCTAGAGTCAATGATATGTAGTGGTCTGAGTATGGGATTGGGAACTTGGAATGGCTCAGCATTAGGATTAATTCAGTTGGTTCAGTTTTTCTAATGTAAATAATTTGCAGTAATTAAAGTCTGTTGTATCAAATTTGTGTGGAGAGATGTAAATTTGACTCTAAAATTGAGATTATGGTTTCAGTTGCAGTTCTCATAGTACTTCATTACATAAACAGACATTTATGAAGGGTGTTGAGTTTAAACCATTTTGACTGCAAAGCTGTCGTAGCTACTGTATCAAGGTGAAACTGTACATCAAAACTTTTAGTTACCAACTGCGTTACCCATGGTTCCACAGGCAAATCCATCTTTGGGGGACGTGTCAGAGGTATATCTGAAAAGACTTATTGTGGTCTTTTTGCCAATACACCATTACTGTTATTGTCATGAACATATACAAAAGCCAGACACGACAAATTCCACTTCTGCAAGTCTTGCATAAATTTGCTTGCAAACTTCTCAGCAGCATGAATCTATTCCAGTTTATATATCTTTACAATAGCTTATTCTGTTTGCACACACAGTGACTGGTAACCCTTGTAATTCCTTGCATTTACCACAGACTGCAGGATTGCTATAAAGAGGCATCCAAGGCAGGAATTTCAAGTCCTGTAGGAGGTAGTCAGCATATTTTCCAATTCAGCTGGTACTGTTTGTTTTGTGGGGTGCTGGGCTGTTGGAGCATGATATTATGAAAAGTAATGGCCTAAACCCCCTGAAGTTTGGTTCCAGATCCAAGCTTTCTCAAAGTTCAGATGGACTTGAGCTCTGAGGTTCTTGTTTGGGCCAATTAGAGGTTCAAGCTGCAAAGTTCATGGTTTCAGATCCAGAGCCCATTAGAGAGAGGGCTCTGAGATGAGAAGTTTTGGACTGGATCCCAAATTTTACAGTTTGGGAAGGTTCAGACCCACATTTTTTATTCAGCACTTTTTCTAGTTGTGGGCCTATGGGATTTCATGAGGTCACAAAGGCCTTAGCTTCCAACTAATTAGCTTTTGTGACATCTGTTACTAGTTTGTCTCTAATGATGTCAGTGATTTTCATATTTTCCTTATTGCTTAAGGCACATAGCAGTTTGCCTACAAAATCATTGAGATTGAAGAAGAAGATTGGAAAGGAACTGGAGCGATTCCTATAGCAAATTGTGCTCAGTGTAAAGCAGGCTTAATTCAGCTGTTTTTTGGCACAGATTATACAGTCTATAATATTAGCTGCCATCTATTTTGATAAAGTAAAATCAGTACACCCAGTTTCTGATTTATTCTAGTTAAGAGAAGAATATTTATTTATATCAAAGCATTAAAACAGATACAGGGAATCCTGGTTACTGTAGCATGACAGTGTGTTAAAGTGGGCATAAGAAGCTACAGTATATTATGCAACTTGTTTACCACAAGGAGAAATGGTTACTGCAGCCAGCAGCCTTTGTGAATTTCATTTGGCTCTGAAACCATTTGCCTGTAAGGCATTCACACAGCATGAAGGTGTCAATTCATTGTATGTTAGCAGTGCTCAAAAACTATAACTTTCTCTGATTAGAGCTCACTGAAATAAGATTTTGTAATGCAAATATGTTTTTTCAGTTTATAAAGAAAAAAAAAAAATTCAGGCATCCTCCAACATCTGTTCACATTCTTTAGAGTAGGTTACAACATGAAGGAATGAGCCTTTATAGAATCTAATCTGACATTTTCAGGAACTATTAAGTATATAAAAAGAAAAGGCTATGCCAATGATTCCTTTAAAAAAAAAAAAAAAAAAAAAACTATCACAGAAGTTGTCATTGTGGACCACAGCAGAGAGATGATCATGTGATCCAGCTTCCCTCACAGTCATAATCTCACAATATCCCCGTGACAACTTGCAAGGATTGCTAATATGGAAAAGTACTAGTAGGAAAATGTGCATGTATTTTTAACTGTTTAACACAATACTTGGGGGGGGACGACATAATCACACTGTCTCTTTTTGCTGTTCATTTCATCTCTCTGTCCTATCTGTTCTGCTACAATAAACTCATTAGAAATTTAAGAATATTCCAGTTTGCAGTTTTTCAGAATATGATGGATTAGAGGAAAGACAAAAAGAGTAGGTGAAAAAGCCCCAGTAACTACTGTAAATGAGGCCTGGCCTACTGTGCATATTCTTAATGGCTGTAAAATAAATTCCTACTAGGACACAAGAATTTTCATAATGGGGAATTTTAGTATCATAATGAGTATCTCAAACTCTGAAGAAAAGTGTTTAAAAAAAAAAAAAAAAAGCCCCCAAAACCAAACCTCCACTAATTCTTCGGAAATGGAAACCCTGAGTTTAATATAAATTTAGAATACTGTTTGTGAAGGAGAGAACCTTTCATGTCCATATGTTTTCAATTGAGTGGCAATATTGATATCTTTAATGAAATGAGGACCCAGTTTAGTGACCAAATCCAGAAGTCCGTTTTTCAAGCAAAACTTCTGATGAAGTCAGCAGCAGATAATGTCACCATTGAAATAAATGGAAGTTCTGCCCACAGAAGGACAGGAAGATTTACCCTTATATCAGTAGTTGATTTGACTGGATGACTCTTGTTGTTATGTTCACAATGAGATGTTAAGAATGACTTAAGCATTATATATTTTGCTTTAATTTATTTTTCATCATCTTTATCGAAAACGGATATATTGGATAATGTGTCAAATAACACAGGATTTAGGATCGCAGCCTAACAAATATAAATATAAATATAAAAATAAATATAAAGAGGGTTTTGAGCTGACTATGTATAAATGGAAGATCTTTTTAGAGTGGCTTGTTGTCACTCATTACTGTTCTTAAGCACATACTATAATTGGAGATTTTTTTTAAAATTTAAATTCATAATAAAGCAACAGTGCATCCTATGGCTTTGGGTAAGAAATTAAAATTAAAGGTTTCAGAGTAGCAGCCATGTTAGTCTGTATCCGCAAAAAGAAAAGGAGGACTTGTGGCACCTTAGAGACTAACAAATTTATTTGAGCATAAGCTTTCATGAGCTACAGCTTACTTCATCGGATGCTTATGCTCAAATAAATTTGTTAGTCTCTAAGGTGCCAAAAGTCCTCCTTTTCTTTTTGTAAAATTGAAGGGTAAGAGTTGGCCCTGTGTCTAAAATTCCAGGATAGGACATCTAAAACTAAATATATTTTATGTATTTCAAAAAAATTGGGACAAATATTGTCTATGTTGATACATGAATGATATATAACTGATCACAGTTCTGTGTAATTTGTTTTTTCTATAGATTACCAAAGTGGCCTTGGAATACAACAACTGTAGTAAAAGCCAGGCAGCTGAACCTGTTCTTCAGCACTTGAAAGATGCAAATTCACCAGTTTTTGAGTCCATTGTACCACATGCGCATACACAAGTTGCAGAAACATCCTCCATAACAAAGTACCCATGCTGCAACACGGTGGTGCTCCCTCACTGGCACTCAATCTCTAGGACTCACAATGTCTGTGAGCTTTGTGTTAACCAGACGGTTGGGGTCAAACCAAGTAAAGTCAATGTACCACAGTGTAACTTTTTAGAGATAGAAGCAGCTTTGGACTCTTTCTACCTCAAGGAACATACCTTTTTCCAATTTGTATCAAATACCATAGAATGCAGCAATTTCTTAAGTTTCTATAGTCCTTTTAGCTACTACACTGCATGTTGCAGGACAGTAAATAGGGGTCTGATAAATGTAATTAGTTCTGAAAAGACCATATTTCAGACCCCTAAAGTAGCATTTTCTTCCCATGGGAAGAAAGGTAAGGATGATACCCAACATTCTATTCCTCACATTGAGGATAGGAATTATTTTTCTCCTGACTTTCGCATTAATGGCACTCACATTACTGGCCTGAGGTGCAGGACCAACAAGACCTTGAATCTCTATCTACTGGATTCAAATTTGTTTTGGATGTATGCAGAGAGACTCGGAGCATCAAGATCTACTCATGTGAAGGAATTTGCTGCCATTGTTGACCTGAAGGAAGAGGCAAACTATATCTTGGATCAGAATCAAACACTTATAAAATCTACTCTAGGTACGGTATGCAGCAATCTTGTATTCAAAATTTAAAGTAAGTAAATACATTAAATGAAGATAGGATGGAGTTGGCAAAGAATAATAATTTTGAAAAACATGTTATTGACAAAAGCAGGTCAATTTATAAAGTGAGACTGTGAAAAGCATTGTGGATCTTCATCTGCTTAATCATTAATAAAACTGTAAAGGGTTGTTCTAGGGTATGATAAAAGAACTAATAATTTCACAATCCAGGAATAACTTACTCAGTTCAAGTGGAAATTTTGCCAACCTCAACCTCCTAGTATTTGTCAATCGGTTGACAATAGGTATGTCATCAAACTATAGGAATTTCCCTAAGTGGTCAATCCACAAAACCAGATTGCCAGCAGTTTTAAAGAAGTGTACCGTAGCTCAAACTAAATAACTGCTGATGCCTCAGAGAAAATGTTTAAAATGCATTTTATTCCTAAAATCGTGTACTTACAAAAGCATGTATTTGGTACTCACATCATTTTATATTACAGAACACATTTGTATGGAAATAGTATTGTTTGAGTTCAGCAGCTCCAGCTGTTTGGTAATGACTTCCAGAATGCAGAGTTGGTAGTGAATGTCTTCTTCCAGTAGCCACTCCTTGGGTAGTGACTCTTTGGCAGTGGGCTGGTTCTTCTGTTGTTCTTGGATGCCATGGTGATAAGTGGGGTATGAGAATTAAAAAAATAAATAGCTATGTGGAGCAGTGGCTTCTGTAAGTGGAGGAGCTGCAGTCCCTCACCCCCTACTGGTGGCTATCAGTCTCTGCTCTGACCCCACAAAAGTTGGTGGGTGAGAATGAGGCAAATCCAAGTCATCCAACACCATTGACTAGACTTTCCCCCATAAGAGTGTTTTGGGTATAGCAGCTCTTTTTACCCTACTCCCAAAAGTTGTTTCCTACTATGTCTGATTACTTTTCATGCTGTATCCATGAAAGTGCTCTTCCTTGCCCCATTCTCAGTGCTTGCTTGGCAGGTATGCCATGTGGTCCATTGGGATTAGATCTGACCACCTCTGGGGACAGGAAGGAGTCTCTGACAATTTTTTTGTTTAAGATTTAAAACTCTTTTTCTAGTCAGGCAAGATATTTCTTTTGTCCCCCCCTGTATGGTGAATAAATTTACCTCAGATCCATGGATGTGGGATTTAGATTATCCATTCCATTATAATAGGAGGGAGGGATGGCCTTTCGTCCTTCCCCTACCGAGACACAATTCTCTATACTTAAAGATACCAACAAGCAGTCCTAATCCTGAATTTGTTTTACTGTTAAACATTAGATTAGGGTATCATTAATGTATCATGTTACAATTAGATTATCTATTATTGTATACAAGATAAGTAGTTGACAATACACTTTTAATCATCTTATTTTTATAAAAACTTCTAAATTCACATTTTCCAATTCCTGCAATTATTTCCCTTGGGTATTATATCCCCTGAGATCAGGTTCTGGATTTATTTTGTTTAGGCTTAACTGCATTGTACTCTGGTTTCTTTTTAAACACAGTTTTTACTAAAACGTATGATTCCTTCTGAAACCAGTCTTAGTGCAAAATGCCATATTAAAAGTTATTGGTGGCTACTTTCAAACTGTCTGGTGGGGGCATGGCATTATATGTAAAAGAAAGCATAGAATCAAATAAAGTAAAAATCTTAAATGAAACAAACTGTACTATAGAAACTCTATGGACAGAAATTCCATGCTTGACTAAAAAGAGTATAGCAATAGGAGTAAACTACTGACCACCTGACCAGGATGGTGACAGTGATTGCGAAATGCTAAGGGAGGTTAGAGAGGCCACAAAAGCAGAAAGCACAGTAATAATGATTGATTTCAGTGATTCAGTGGGTAAATGTCACCTCAGAGTGTGATGCAGAGATAAAATTTCTAGACACCATGAATGACTGTTTCTTGGAGCAACTAGTTCTGGAACCCACAGAAGAGAGGCAATTCTTGATTTAGTGCTAAGTGGACCACAGGATCTGGTCCAGAAGTAACTATAACTGAACTGCTCACTTAAATTTAGTATCCTTGGGGGCGGGGGGGAGGGAGGGGGATGATTATATATATATATATAAACTAGGGCTGTCAAATGATTAAAAATTAATCATGATTAATTGCATGATTAATCGCATGATTAATCGCATGATTAATCGCACTGTTAAACAGTAATAGAATACCATTTATTTAAATATTTTTGGATGTTTTCTACATTTTCAAATATATTGATTTCAATTACAACACCGAATACAAAGTGTACAGTGCTCACTTTATATTTATTTTTATTACAAATATTTGCACTGTAAAAAAACAAAAGAAATAGTATATTTCAGTTCACCTAATATAAGTAGTGTAGTGCAATCTCTTTATCGTGAAAGTTGAACTTACAAATGTAGAATTATGTACAAAAAATAACGGCATTCAAAAATAAAACAATGTAAAACTTTAGAGCCTACAAGTCCACTCGGTCCTACTTCAGCCAATCATTCAGACGAAAAGTTTGTTTATATTTGCAGGAGATAATGCTGCCCACTTCTCGTTTACAACATCACCTGAAAGTGAGAACAGGCGTTCTCATGGCACTGTTGTAACCTGCATTGCAATATATTTACATGTCAAATGCGCTAAAGATTCACATGTCCCTTCATGCTTCAACCACCATTCCAGAGGACATGCATCCATGCTGATGAGGGGTTCTGCTTGATAACGATCCAAAGCAGTGTGGACCGATGCATGCTCATTTTCATCATCTGAGTCAGATGCCACAGAAGAAGGTTGATTTTCTTCTTTGGTGGTTTGGGTTCTGTAGTTTCCACATTGAAATGTTGCTCTTTTAAGACTCCTGAAAGCATGCTCCACACTCTTCCCTCTCAGATTTTGGAAGGCACTTCAGATTCTTAAACCTTGGGTCGAGTGCTGTAGCTATTTTTAGAAATTTCACATTGGTATCTTCTTTGCGTTTTGTCAGATCTGCAGTGACAGTGTTCGTAAATCAAACAACATGTGCTGGGTCATCATCCGAGACTTCTATAACATGAAATATATGGCAGAATGTAGATAAAACAGAGCAGGAGACATACAATATTCCCCCCAAGTAGTTCAGTCACTAATTTAATTAACACACTATTTTTTTAATGAATATCATCATCATGGAAGCATGTCCTCCAGAATGGTGGCCGAAGCATGAAGGGGCATACAAATGTTTAGCATATCTGGCACGTAAATACCTTGCAATGCTGGCTACAAAAGTGCCATGTGAATGCCTCTTCTCATTTTCAGGTGACATTGTAAATAAGAAGCAGGCAGCAGTATCTCCTGTAAATGCAAACAAACTTGTTTTGTCTTGGCGATTGGCTGAACAAGAAGTAGGACTGAGTGGACTTGTAGGCTCTAAAGTTTTACATTGTTTTGGTTTTGCGTGCAGTTGTGTAACAAAAAAAATCTACATTTGTAAGTTACACTTTCACAATAGAGATTGCACTACAGTACTTGTATGAGATGAATTGAAAAATACTATTTCTTTTGTTTATCATTTTTACAGTGCATATATTTGGAATAAAACTAATATAAAATGAGTACTGTACACTTTGTATTCTGTGTTGTAATAGAAATCAATATATTTGAAAATGTAGAAAAACATCCAAAAATATTTATAAATTTCAATTGGTATTCTATTGTTTAACAGTGCGATTAATCGTGATAAATTGTTTTTAATCGCAGTTAATTTTTTTTTGAGTTAATCGCATGAGTTAACTGTGATTAATCAACAGCCCTAATATAAACCCATCATGGTAACATTTAACTTTAAAAGGGGAATTACACAAAAATGAGGATGCTTGTTAGTGTGAAATTAAAAGGAGCTGTCACAAGGATAAATGCCTGTAAGCAGCATAGGGGCTATTTAAAATCACCGTAATAGAGGATCAGACTAAAAGTATACCGTGAATCAGAAAAGACAATAAGAGGACCAAAAAAAATGCCACCATAGCTAAACAGAAGAGTAAATGGAGGCCATTTAGAGGCAAAAGGTCATCTTTTTAACATTTGAAAGTCAAAATCTAATGAAGATAATAGAAAGGAGAACAAACGCTGGCAGGTTAAGTGTAAAAGTATAATAAGGCAGGCCAACAAAGAATTTGAGAAGCAACTTGCTAAAAGATGCAAAAACTAACAGTAAGAATTTTGTTAAAAATGTCAGAAGTAGGAAGCCTGACAAACAGGAAGTGGGCCACTAGAAGACCAAAGTTTAAAGGGGCACCCCGGGAGAAAAAGACCACTGAGAGAAGCTAAACAAATCCTTTACATTGGTCTTCACTGTAGAGGATGTGGGGGAGATATCCATTGCAGAGCTATTCCTTTTGGCTGCAAACCTGAAATACTATCATACAAGAGGTTTTAGAACAAATAGATAAATTAAGCCATAATAAGTCCCCAGGACCAGACGGTCTTCACTCAAGAGTTCTGAAGGAACTCAGATATGAAATTGCAGAACTACTAACTGTAGTATGTAACCTGTTACTGAAACAAGCCTCTGTACCAGATGACTGGAAGGTAACTGTAATGTAGCTTTTAAAAAGGCTCCAGAGATGATCCTTGCAATTAGGAGCCAGTGAGCCTAAATTCAGTGCTGGGCAAATTGGTGGAAACTACAGTAAAGAATGGAATGATCAGATACATAGATAAACATGCTTTATTGGGGAAGACTCAACACCGCTTTTGTACAGGGAAGTCATGTCTTACCAATCTATTAGAATTATATGAGGGTGTCAACAAGTATGTGGATAAGGGTGATTCAGTCAATATGCAGTACTTGGATTTTCAGAGAGCCTTTGACAGGGCACCTCATCAAAAGTTCTTAAGGAAATTAGTCATGGGATAATAGGGAAGTTCCTCTCATGGATCGGTAACTATCGGTTAAAAGATAGGAAGCAAAGGGTAGGAATAAATGGTTCATTTTCACAACAAAAAGAGGTAAGCAGTGGGGTCTCCCAAAGACCTGTGCTGGAACCTGCTGTTCAACATATTCATTAATTATCTGGAACAGGGAGTGAACAATGAAGTAGCAAAGTTTGCAGATGTTACAAAAGTATCTAAGATTGTGAAGTCCATAGCTGACTGTGAAGAATTCTAGGGGGATCTCACTAAACTGGGTGACTGGGGAACAAACTGGCAGATGAAATTAATGAATAAAATGAAACATTGATAAGTGCAAAGCAATGCACATTGGAAAAAATAATCCCAACTACACATGTATAATGATGGGTTCTATGTTAGCTATGTTACCGTACAAGAAAGAGATTTCAGAGTCAGCATGGATAGATTTCTGAAAACTTCAGCTCAGTGTGCAGCAGCAGTCAAAAAGGCTAACAGAATGTTATGAGCTATTAGGAAAGGTATAAGAAAATAAGACAAAAAATATAATGCCACTGTATAAATCCATGTGTGTCCAATTCTGGTTGTCCATCTCAGAAAGGATATAGTGGAACTGGAAAAAGTTCCGAGAAGGGCAACAGAGATGATTAGGAGTATGGAATGGCTTCCATACCAAGAGAGCCTAAAAAGATAAGGGATGTTCATCTTAGAAAAGAGATAATTATGGGAAGATATGATTGAGGTTTATAAAATCATGAATGGTGTGGAATAAAAATGAATAGAGAAGTGTCATTTACTCTTTTCCACAATACAAAAACCAGGGGTCACCCAATGAAATGAATAGGCAACAGGTTTAATACAAACAAGAGGAAGTACTTTTTCACACAACCCACAGTTAGCCACGGAACTCATTGCTGTAGAATCTTGTGATGGCCAAAAGAAAAAATGGGTTAAAAAAAGAAGTATGGCAGTTCTTATATTCTTGTGTGCACATACTTTTGTCAGAATAAATTTATCAAGACAGAGATATGAGGTGTATTTAGTCAAATTACGGTACCTTTGTTTTTCTAACTGTATTTGAAACCATTTCTAAATTAATTTAGTAATTTGATTTTTTTTCTGCCATTAGATACTTTTTTCCAGACTTTTACATGCTTATTTCCAAAACAGCACATGTGCAGTCATTTGCTCAGAAGAGCACGTGAATTACATTCCTAACCTGTGTGCCCAGTAATTTGAATGGTACACACAAGATACATAACTAGCCTTTTACACATGAAAATACCCACTTTGCATACTAGTCTTGTTACTTTCTTGCAGAAATTAAGTGTACCTTTTGGGCATGAAAATTGCAAGCATACAGTTTTGAAAATCATGCCTTTAATTTAGGCAATGTTGAAAGGGAAGAGGCAAGTTCATGTAAAAATCAGGCTTGTAATGTAGGCAATAATGCCTGGGAAGAGAAGCAAATTCATCTGTGTTCATAATTGAGTATTAAAATAAGTTGCTCAGATCGGTGTATTTACATTGTTCTTACATCATTTCTTGCCCTGGGCCAGTTGCATAGTCACATTTTACAGCAGAAATTGAAAAATAACTTAAGCAAATACTTAAGTGACTAAGACATTTAAAAAAAAAAACCCAACTCCCATATTCTTCCCATACTCCTTAAGTAGAGTACCAATTTTTAAACACAGATATTCTTGCAATTAGAAGCTAATTACAGTAATAGATCTAACTGTTGGTCCAATGAGAAACCTTACAGATTGTTTCTAAAAAAATATCATGAGCACTTAAGACAGTTAAAAAGACAGACCTCATCTTTTTTGTTTCTTAAATACATCACAGCTAAAAACACCCCATAGTCTTTCAAAATCTAGTTGCTCTAAAAAACATGGAGCTTTGGTTTGGTCTTGGTTTTCATGAATGTTGAGTTAAAATTTTTAAAATAAGGTTGAATTTACTATTATATGCATATGCACCTGTTTAGGGACCTATAATATGCTTTCCCTGTTCACTTTGGTCATTAATTTAATCCTGACTTTGTTTAGTTTTTATGCTAGTGTTCTCAATGTAGAAAATTTCCAAATGACTAAATTATTATTTGAGTATCATCTGGCATTGTATAATGCGAATCTCAGTTCTTGAATGTACTTGACATCATACAGTGCATAGCAGAATTATGACCCAGATCTAAATTGAACAGGAAATACAGTTTTGACGTTGTAACACGTGATAGAAAATGATGAAGTCTCAAGACAGTGCAGATAAGTGGTGTTTTATTTTAATATCTATCTTTGGTGGGTTATTGTTCAAAGTTGTCTGAGAAGAAGTGAGTTTTATGGAAAGAGAGTTGTTTGAGGGGGAATGTGGTCATTTGACGCACAAAAGAGAGTAGATTGTTCCAAGCACATAGGCATGAAAGATGATTGGGGGAAGGATATAAAAGAAGCAATTAGAAGAGGGACTTGGGCAGAGCAAAGGAGAGTGGGAGGGTAAGTACGAAGAAATAAGAACATAGATATAAGGAGGAGTGGAATCGTGCAGAGTCTTGAACCAGAGTACTGGAGACTTGAACTTGGTGCAGAATGTGAAGGAAAACCAGTGAAAGGGTTCTAATTGGGACTGACCATGTGGTCTGATCAGAGGAGAGGAAATTTGTATTGCAGCATTTTGGATAGACTAGAACAGCGGTTGTCAACCAGAGTCTGCGGGCCCCTAGGGGTCCATGAGCCCTTTCAGGGAGTCCACGGGGCCCTGTGGCTGAAACCCAGTGCCCTGAGCTCCAGCGCCCCCTGTGAGGCTGAAGCAGGGAATGGCACAAGGCTGAAGCTGGTTTCCCCCCCCCCCCCCAAGCCAGGAGTGGCACAGGGCTGAAGCTGGTTCCCCCCCCCCCCAAGCCAGGAGTGGCACAGGGCTGAAGCTGGTTCCCCCCCCCCCCCCCCAGCCAGGAGTGGCATAAGGCTGAAGCTGGTTCCCCCCCCCAGCCAGGAGTGGCACAGGGCTGAAGCTGGTTTCCCCCCCCCCAAGCCAGGAGTGGCACAGGGCTGAAGCTGGTTCCCCCCCCCCCTCAAGCCAGGAGTGGCACAGGGCTGAAGCTGGTTCCCCCCCCCCCCCCAAGCCAGGAGTGGCACAGGGCTGAAGCTGGTTCCCCCCCAAGCCAGGAGTGGCACAGGGCTGAAGCTGTGCCCTCCCCCCCCCCGGCCCCCGAAGCCAGGAGTGGTGTGGGGCTGAAGCCAGGAGCCCCAGTGCCCCCCCCACCTGAAGCACAAGGGTGTTGCCCCCTCAAAAGCAGTGTCTTACCCAGAGTGAGGCAGTCCGGGGTAGCTCCACGCCCTACCTCCTCCTCTACCCCAGCCCCCCTCAGGCCTAGCTCTCTGGCCAGGTTGTAGGTAGGAAGCCGGAGCTAGGCAGTGCAGGGTAATTGCTTCTCTGGTTGGTGGCACCATGAAGCGGGCAGCTGTGGCATTCCCTCATCTGCTGCTGGTGCCCAGGGTTGCAGCTGCTCCTCAACTCCCAGCCCCCTTTGACTGCTCACACAGCTGGTAAAAGCTGCCTGGGTGGGAGAACCCAACTCTGGGGCCTGCAGAGCCCTCGGGGAGCCGACACCACAGGGGGAGCCCCCCTGGCACACAGCCCCTAGCTGTCTTTCTCCCTGAAACCTGAGCTACCACCTTGCACACACACAGCCCCGAGCTACCCTCTGCCTTCACCCTTCAGCTACTCTCCTGCCTGAACACAGCCCCTGGTTACTCCCTGAGCCACACCCCTGACTGCACACAGTGCCTAAGTACCCCCTGCCTGCACCCTGAGTGGTTTTCAAACTTTTTGAACTGAGTCCCCCCTTTGAGTTACTTTTTTTGGTTGCAGCCCCCCACAACCCAAACAGGCTGGTCTGCTGAGGTGAGTCGGGGTGGAGGTGGCACTCTCTCCCTCGACCCCGCTGTGCGGAGCTGGCCTGAGCCCCGCCAGCCCTTTCCCCCTTACAAAATAGAAGTCAAACTATGCCTATGCCCCCTCCCCGGCCCAGAGCCCTGAGTCCTGCTGGGCTCTGGAGTTTTTATGGGGGGCCTCAACAAGAAAAAGGTTGAGACACCTCGAGTCGAGTAAGAACAAGGTAAAAAGCAATGACACCAGTGAAGAGAAGGTTGTAATAATCAAGGCAAAAGATGACCCATTTGAATGGTCATTAATCAGAAACTGAGGTAAGACTACAGAAATTATATTTAGGGCTTGTAAACTAGATTTGTATTTTTCTTTTATGCCATAAGTCAGTTTGTCTTCTGAAACCCAAAATAAAAACAGGCAGCCTAGATATTACAGGTATAATGAAGCTGGAATAACCTTCTTAATGTCCCTCTTTCATTTTAGAGAACTTCATTCAAAACTTCAGCATTCTCTACAGTCCCTTGAAAAGGCATCTTGTTGGTGACTCTTCAGTTCATTTTCCCGCACACCACGTAATCACTGAAGTGACTACTAATACCTTTCATGATGTGGTGGTTTTGAGTGAAAAGGTACAGCTCATAACTGCAATTACATTGAGGGTTTAATCACATTTTGAAGAATAGGATTGCAGAGTTCATTTTTCTGAATTTTCATTGTTTAAAACTAAAGGGTATCCTCCTCTCCCATTCATGCAGTTACACTAATTGTGTACATAATTTTAAACAAGGGCACTCCATGAAAGTCATACTTCACTGTAACTTAAATTCAGGAGACCCCTCTGTTGGAACAAATCAGCCAGAAAATCAGCCAAACCAGCTCCCTGAAGACCACCCCCTGCCTTCCTGTGCTGTGTGTATCTGCCATAGCTGGGGTTTAGCCTTTTGTATTCTTATTTGCTAAATGTGATCGAAATTACATATATAATTGTGGGGATGGAGAAGTCCTGTTTTGCCTTTGTTTGCATGGTGGCAACTCTTAACAAATTAAGTAGAGGTTGAGACCCAAGGTCAAGAACAGGTCCCAAGCCTACTCAGTCTTGGATGGAATTGGAGATATGTGTGATGAACATTGCTTTTATGAACCAGTTAAGGCTGTAGAGATCGGGCCGGCTGCAGAGGGAGCCACTTGCTGTCTTACTGGAACTAAGGTACAAAATAGTGAATAAAAGTGACTGGGAAGTAGCTGTAACAGAAAATTGAAGGTTGTAAAACAAAGAAACAAAAATCCCAACAAAAAGTAGTACTTTAAAAGCATACATCACAAAAATCCATAGCAAAAAGCTTTTTGATTTCATGATGTGAAATGTTTTGATGTACAGTGTAATTTTGAATGATGCCTAAAGAACTTTATATAATTTGATTCTTTATATGTGTGATTGAATTTGGACTAATATTCTTTGGCTACTAGGATAGCAGAGAAGGAATGCATGTGCAATATTCAGTTTCCAGTGTCCCCAGTGCCTAGTGTGCTAGCTTGAGGAAAATTGCTTAGTTCTCTAGAGGTCTCCAGAGATTTTCTTTTTAAAGTGTACAGTGACCATTATTTAAATAGGAATGAAAGGCTGGTCTTGAAATCTGCATATCTGTGAATTTGAGAAAACCTGTCCATCCCTTCCTTCATAGGGATGGGGGTAACAGGACTGCCTGCCTTTCCTTCAACATGTTCTTAATACTTGCAGCTCTGAATTAAAATCATGATTATAATCAAATCTCATGCTTCAGGGCTTCAGCCAATTGCCTGCGGCAGTCAAGAAGGATTTTTTCCCCCTCTGCATGATGTAGTCATTGGCAGGGAGGGAGTTTTCCTTCAACTGAAGCAGCAGAGATTCCCCACAGTAGGGGACAGGACAGTGGATGGGGTGAACCAGTAAATGCCTGGCTGGTGTATCTTGCTCACATGCTCTGAGTCATACTGATTGCCAGATTTGGGACTTGGAAGAAAATTTCCCATAGGTCACATTGGCTGGAACCTTGGGGGTTTTCGCCTTCTTCTGCAGCATGGTGCTGGTTCACCTGGGCATATCTCACCTCATAAGTTCCCTTCCATTGCTCAGGCCTTGGGCACTGGGTGCACCTTGATTCTCCTGTTGTCTGCCTGTGGCACAAGGTTTAGTTTCCTGAAGATTGAAAAACTTTAGTCTAACTGAAGTCTTTGAAAACAACAAGGAGTCCGGTGGAACCTTAAAGACTAACAGATTTATTTGAGCATAAGGTTTCATGGGTAAAAAACCCACTTCTTCAGATGCATGGAGCGAAAATTACAGATGCAGACATAAATATACTGACACATGAAGAGAAGGGAGTTACCTCACAAGTGGAGGACCAGTGTTGACCGGGCCAATTCGATCAGTGTGGATGTAGTCCACTCCCAATAATAGATGAGGAGGTGTCAATTCCAGGAGAGACAAAGCTGCTTTTGTAATAAGCCAGCCACCCCCAGTCCCTATTCAAGCCCAAATTAATGGTGTTAAATTTGCAAATGAATTTTAGTTCTTCTGTTTCTCTTTGAAGTCTGTTTCTGAAGTTTTTGTTGTTCAAGTATAGCTACTTTCAAATCTGTTATAGAATATCCAGGAAGATTGAAGTGTTCTCCTACTGGCTTCTGTATGTTACTATTCCTGATGTCCGATTTGTGTCTGTTTATTCTTTTACGTAGGGAATTTGTGTAGGGGATTTGTGTCCATTTATTCTTTAAATAGCTCAGATGTTTTGTTTAACACAGTGATGACTATTTCTGCTGTATGTAAAACCCCAGTTGCTAACTGAATATCTCCCCCCCCCCCCCCCAGGATGTCTTGCTGCTCTATTATGCGCAATGGTGTGGATTCTGTGCTTCTCTTAATCATATCTTTATCCAGCTAGCTCGACTTCTGCCTCCAAACAACTTCACTGTGGCAAGGTAAAAGAATCGTTCTTCATTTTTCCACAGTATTTTTAAGTATACTGTTGTGACTACTTAGACTTCCAGATATGCATATATGGATATTATGTAGCTTGTAAAGTTGATATAGTGCCATTAATTTCCACTAATTTATGTTTAATTTTAAGTTAAGATTGCATGTCTGTCAAATTAGATACAAGTCCTATGAATTTGTTATAAGCAGTATATTATAACATTACATAAGTTTAGAATATTACTATTAGATTCCAATTTAGTGTGTCAAAATTGAGTTGAGTGAGCTCATCAGCTGGGAGGGAAAATATATATGAAGAGAAGAAAGAAAAAATGTATACTGTACTTCGGGTAGACGCTTTCTTCTTTGTTATGTGATACAGCATGGCCAGAAGGCAGCAGGAGAGTGATATAGGAGATATATGTTAGCCCCAGGATGAGGAGAAGCCTTATTCCCTGTAGAGGGAAGAAAGGTTGCTATTAGAGGGAAGAAAGGTTGCCAATTAGAGCACCTGAAGCCAGTCACTTGATTAAACCCCCCTGCTTCAAGCACAGTGGTTTGGTGTTGGAGCAGAGAGCAGTTTGAAGGAGTTGAAGTAGAAGAGAGTTTGGAGAAGTGCTGTGGCTGGCTAGAAGACCAAGACTCTAGGTAAAGAGACACCCGGCTTGTGCAGAGAGAGGGCAGGAAGCCCCACAAGCTGAAGAGCAGGAGAGGGAAGTAGCCCAGGGAAAGGAAGCACTAGTTCAAGTGGTTTGCCACTATCCCTAGGGCCCCTGGGCTGGGACCCAGAGTAGAGGGTGGGCCCAGGTCCCTCCCTCTCCACTACCCTTCTCTGACTGTTCACAAAGTGAATTAGTAACACAGCAATTAATTAAAAAAACCTTTTATCTTGATTCCCAGAAAACCAGATTTCCCATTATAAACAACGCTGAGAGACAGATTTTCAGACCTCAGAATAGGAAACACCTCATATCGCTCATCAGAGCAAGCATCCATTCAGCTGTATGCTTATACACAACTGTTTATCATTTGTTTATAAATGAAAAACAAAATGGATATTTCAGAAGCAAAAGTAATACATGGAATGTTCAGTTGCATCTTTATCAGTTTATTTTTTCTTTTTCTTTTGTTTTTAACAGAATTGATGTTGCTCGAAATGACCTTCCATGGGAATTTATGGCAGATCGTCTCCCAACCATTTTGTTTTTTCCTTCTAACAGGTAATGTCATTCCTTTCTCTTAAAGGTGTTTTTTTTTTTTTTTTTTTTTTTTCATTTCTTGGAGTTTGAAAAATGAATCTGGTCACATGCTTAAGAGGAGAGGAAAGCCAAATAGCCATTCATTACCGCGTATTACCAATGCACTTTCTAAAATAGACATGTATGGACAAATGATGATTTTCTGAAAGTGAATTAAATTCTAGCCCAAGTGTCATTATTTTATAGTTTGTCAGTATTTATTTGTAAACAGCAATATGCATTACTCACCTTATTTCCTCATATAATTTCCCTCTCATTTGGTTGTGCAACAGTTCTTTTGGCATGGTCAGAATTGACTAGTGAGTGAGAACTGGAGGGAAGAGAGTGACAGAAAAAGAGGCATGGTTAAAAAAGAGACTGTGAGATATGTCAGAGGATCACACAATGGGCTCTTGAAGTAAGAGGCAAGACTTCTTGCTAGTTTTCTATCTGAAAAAGTTAAAATACGCATGAGCTGAGGCAAAGGGGTCAAGCTCTTTCCTAGTTAAACTAACCCATACTTTATTGTCTCTTAATAAGATAATTTTAAAAAATAAACAATTGAAGTTTAAAAGCAGGCAAGAATGTAAAAGCTAAATGAAAATAGAAAGTTGCCTTGAATTTATATTAAAAAGTGCTAATAGGCAAGAGTTAAAAATAAAAGCAATAAAAGTCAAGGAGTTGGAAGTTAAAGGGAAACTCACTGTATCCTCTGATCATAATGGTTTCCTCTGGCCTTAAAAAAAAATCTCTGAATCTTTTATCCTAGTCCTTGGTGTCAAGTTATATTGTAAGTTGTTTGGGGAAGTTTCTTATATGTTTGTAAAGTGCATAGAACATTCCTAAATAACCTAGTCCTTGGTGTCAAGTTATATTGTAAGTTGTTTGGGGAAGTTTCTTATATGTTTGTAAAGTGCATAGAACATTCCTAAATAATAACAGTTTAATGTCTGGTGGAATTGAAGGGCTTCTCATTTCACCCAGACAGAGCCTTCTGAACCTTCGTTGGTGAAAGTAAAGTTGTTTCGTGTTTCACCTAGCCCTCCATTCTGAATTGATATTTTTACGCAGTTAAACTTTTTCTTGATTTCATGTAATAGTGGCTGTCACACAGCACTTCACTTCCTAGCTGAGAGGACATCTATTGGCTACACAGTTTGACTCTTCCATCTTTTATGGGGGCAGAAAGCCCTCTACAGTTCTACAGTATTTCTGGCCCCTATAAACTCACTAGAGAAGATGCCAATATTATCCATAATATAAAGTCTGATTCTACAAATATTTACACACGGAGTTTTACAAATGGAAATAGTCCATTGATGTCTCCGAGAGTAAAGGCTCATCTGATTAAAATTACACATGTGATTAAGTGCTTATAGGATAAGGGACTAAATTTTTTTCTGTGAACCATTATCTGCGGAAGTGTGGGCAGTTTCATGATATTCTCTCTCTGTATACAAGGAATTTTCACATGAGAGCAAGCTTCAACAGAGAATTATATACACAATTTACTTAATTGGCCAGGTTCTCTCTTCTTGTGTGTGAATTGGATCTCATTTTCTCCTTGTTTCTTGCTCCATTAGTGAAGTAATTAATCCTGTTTTGTGACATCATTGTGTTGCCTTAAAAGTGTGTGAAGTCATAAATGCAACATTATGATTTCACTCCAGGATCAAGCAGAAAGAGAATCTGGTCTGAGGGGGAGAAAATGAGTAGCTGAAAAAGCACATATCTGAAATATAAAAGGGGAGGTAGGTACATTTATTATCAAAAGTCTCCTTCAGCAAGGAACCATTGTTAAAACTGTTTTGAAATTTTACGGGTCTTTAATATGAGATTGTCATGTCTGCATATGATGAGTCAAATGAGAAACTGCAAATATTGCAAAAATTTGCAAATATTAACCATTTTCTTGTATTGTTTTTCTGCAGTGTTTGTTAAAGCTAAGTTTTATTTCAGCCTATGAATATATCAAACATTGTGGCTACAGCCTTCAAGGGAAACATACGGAAACCAAGTTACATCATGTAGTAATTTCCTGTGCAAACTATCAGTGGTTGGTGAAAGGTTTTCTCTTGCAAATTGCCTTTAATATTTCACAAAACACTTTGATACAAATGCAATATTTTTCAAAGTTTTAAATAATGTTTTGGGGAAATATCAGTTACTTTATCCGTCACCAGGATCTGTAATGTTACTGGTTCTGTTTCTGTTTTACAATAGCAATGAACAATCACCCTGCACTGCTCTAACTTACATTGCAGAAAATGTTAGCATTGCAAAGCACCTTTTTTTCCAGTCTGACTCATTAGCAAACCATTGAGCTTTCATAAGGGAAGAGCTAACTGCTGAATTAAATGTAACACATTAGCTTTGCTGCATGAAAGAGTAGGACTTCCTGATTTAAAAATAAACCTTTAGTAGCTTAATACCTCCACAGCAGAATGATGATAAAATTTCCAAAGCAAAATGGCAGGAAGACTAGGGAATGTAAATATTTATAAGGGGAAGTGCGTCTCAGAAAGACTAAAAACTTTAATCTATGGTGGTTTCATTTATCCAGATAGACAAGAAAACAAACCGTAGAACCACCAAGAAATGAACAAGGAAAACAACATTTCAGGAAGAATTAGCATAATATAATATGATCTACAGAATAATCTTGGGTTCTGTGAAAAAAGAGTGCAACGCTTCCGTGTGGTTTTTGAGGAACCGATGAAGAAAATGTGCTTGGTTATTTTTTCCCAGGTTTTCTTCTTATCTTAACTCTTCTGGGTTTGGAGGGAAACAGGGACTTGAAATTTGTTGGGGAGTGGTTTTAGTGTCAGGGATATGCCTTTTGCAATCTCCATGAAATTCTGCCCATATTTGGCCAAGCTGTAAACTCAAGTTATAAAAGAGGCAGGGATCCCATGGCAAAATTAGTATGTTATCATGTGCTTAAAAACACTCATAATGAATATGCACATGGGAACTGAATTAAGGTTGCACGGGCAACCTTAGTTCAGGCATTATCTAACTTTTGAGTGCTTGAGTTTTCAACCTTAATATTCTTTTAATGTAGTTTTTTTGTGTGCAGTTATTTTAAAAGTAGATTTTTCGACTTTTAGTGAACTTACTCGTGACTTAGTGGTTCTGAACCAACCCGGGCCCACGTGCTCTGTCATGTGATAGCAATCTCTGTCATAAGGTTTGAGTCTTGTCTTATTTTCTTTTATCTAGTCTTACAAATCTGCTGCTATGTTTGCCTTTCTGCTCCCTCCCTGTCATTGTTTAATTGCTTGGTTTTCCTCTTTTCTCTCTGCTCTGTTTTCTTCCTAATTCTATTATCTGGTGTGTATTTTTAAAAACCAATCTTAGATGGTTATTTTGGAGCCCATCACCATAATATCTAAGCAGTCCTTTATCTTTTAGGCTCATGGTTTAGTAAAACATGAATTTTTCCCTCACTGTGTTTCTATAAACAACAATTTAGTGTTTGTGATGTACACTGGGAGGGGAGGGTGTGTGTGTGTGTGTGTAAAGAAATGGTTGTGATGTAATAAATTGTCATTATTATATATGAGTAAATTTTGTCTTTGTGTAGATTCCATATTTTTGCCAAATCATGACAAGCTGCATTAAATTTGTGTGCTCTTGTAGTTAGCAATTGAGAAACACAGGATTATGAGTATAGGAGTGACTTGTCTGATCATGAGAAGTTTGTAGGGGAAAAGAACCTTATCCATGTCATTACTTGTTTACTCTTCCAAGAATAGCTTAGCTTTGAACAGGAACCTCATTTGGCACAAGTTTTTGGACCGTTAGTAAAAGGGGATCATGTTGCTTTTCCTACCTGAAATGAAATAAACAGAAGCTGCCATAAATTAAACGAAGTAAACAAACAGTGTAATGTAGTATGAATGTTCCGTACATCAATAAATTAGAGTATTTTCCAGGATTTCATAGAGAATATCTTTTGAGGCAGCAGCGCGCTTAATAGGTCAACATAAGTACATACTCCTCCCTATGTATAAACAACCAAAGCAGCCCAGGAGGTATTGTTTTAGATTTAGGTGATCTGGAAGGATATTTGGAGTTGGCAGTTGTGTCCATTTTACCGAAGTGATAGCAATACCTTTTGTGAGGCATTAGGTACTGCAGTTAGATCTGTGAATAGGTGGAATATAGGGCATCCCATTCTGACCAGATTTTCTCATATCCTCTTCAACCAGGAAACAGTCTAGTGTATTTTTCAACCCTCATCTCATTCTTTTCTTTCTGTAGCTTTTCTGCTCCAGTTTGGCGGTATGCCTTGTAGCCCTTTTGGATAACCTCAGATATTGGTCAGCTTTTTAATGGTTTTTTTGATTGATCCAGAGTCAGCTACCACTATGATGTACTGATCTGGTTTTGTCCTCTTATCTTCATTGTTTTTCTGAGGTATTGTATTGGGAGACTAACATGCATTCATCCTACTGCTGAGCTAATTGGCCTTATTGCTGCATAGAGGATAGATAGAGTTCTTGAGTTAAGAGTTCATGTAGGTTTTCTCTAGAGTTCTTCTCTTAAACAAGAGCTAAAAAGCATAAGCAGCTTTGCTAAGTAAGGGTCAAATTCTCAGTCCTTAATTAAACAAAATACTCACTGAAGTAGATAGGAGTCTTGGTATATGATAGATTTTTGGTCATAATGAATTGTTTTTGTGCTCCATCTCCACCATACTCATCATGATTCTAGAGATTAATTAGGCAGGGAAACTGGCCTCTTTTTTGACAGCTATGCCTTTGTCACCAATCTGCATGATCTTGGCGTTAGGAACAGTGATTTTTGTGTGCTTCACTGCTGAGTCTTTTAAGTAAGGGAAGCTGCAGCTTCTGTATTTTATGGTAATGGAACTTTTATCCTTAGTTCATCGAAACTCCCATTAACTTCAGGGATCTTTGCTTCATTCACCAAGTCTAAGCATGATAATGGTTTTGCAGTTTGATTCTTTCATGGATTAGGCAGCTAAACAGAATTCAAAGAATTTTTCACTGTTTTGTTTCACAGAGCTATGTAAGGTATAATACTCCTATCATTTAGTCATCTTTGAAACATCCACTTCTGTTGTTTTATCTCCTGGTCTAAAGGGTATATTTGCTGACTGATTCAATACCAGGACTGGGCTACAGTGTTGAATCTTTCTTCTTTCTGAATAGTACATTTTGGGTGCATTCTGCATGTAATGCTTTTACCCATCTCACTTTGATTCACTCACAGCCAGGCTCCCCCTCTCAGTACTTCCTCAGGGTTATCGATATGAGTTTATCCAATTTGATGGGTCACACTGTGTGCATATTACATGCTGTAAATCCCGTCCGTTACTGATTTGGCAAACAGAGGAACTTAGTAGAAAAGAGTGCAGCTGGTGCTTTTCAATAAATCCCTGAATTTGGACGGAGGGATTATGATCACAGTTGGAGTTTCTGAAGATACATGAGTTGTTTCTTTACTTACACCCACTTCTCCTCAACAACTTTAACATTGTTTCGAAGTCTAACTGTGCCATTTTGTTGGGTACCTGCAGTTTAAAAACCAACCTGAGGAAAATGCAGTATGGTGATGATTGTTGTTGAGCATTTGCAAGTGTGGTTTTCTGTTAAAATGACGTACAGGACTGAATACTGCATATTCCAGTAATCTTCTTAGGGCAAGGACAAGAGTAGGAGAGAATCTTTCTTTCCCTTCAGCTGAGGTGCAGTAGCATTTACTCTTAAACACAAGGCTTTCCCTGCTCATTAACATGATGGAATAGGGCCTAACTACCTTTCATACCCTTTGTTTTAAAATAGAAAGTTTGCGTGGTAGCTTCTGTAAGTCTGTGGCTGCAGAAAACTAAATAAAGAAACCCTCTTTCTTCATTAATATTGCCCTACCACAGGATTCTGGCCATGGTCATCAGTGCTTTGGACTCCTAGATCTTAAAACCCAGATTCTTACAAAGCAGAAAAGAAAAATCTGATTTTCTTTACAGGGACATTTAATCTGGTTCCTCCATTTTAAAGGAGTCAGTATTTTATGACTGTTGATTAATTGGTTTCTTAACACATCAGAGTAACTACATTTTCTGCAGAAACCCCTTTCTTGTACATTATCCTCTAAATAAAGGAAAGCTTAATTCTTCCTGACATTTAACCCATTTTCGTATGGCACCCTATAGATTTGTTTAATAAACCAAAAAAAGGATTATGACACAATTGTTTTATGGTTGAAGGGCATTATACAACCATTTCCTTTACAAAGCTGGGTTAGTATTTTGTTCCCTTTCATAAATCGAAAAGGGGGAGGGGCTGGCTACTTGTGACCTGTTCTAGAGTTAAGGAAATTAAAACAGCTTTTTAGAAAGCTGCCCTATTATTCACCTCTCTGGACTTTGATAAACTGCTCAAGTAGGAGAAAATATGATTGTTGTAAACTTAGGCCCAAATTCTGGTCCTCTACCCTCAAATGTAGGCAGATTCCCTAGCTTGGGAGTGTATGCTTCTGTGGCCCAAGTTCTGCTCATTGATACCTGTGCTTTTATTCTAAGCCCCAAAAGGTGCTTAATGTTTCCTTTCAAGAAGAATTTAAATGGGAAGGCACTATACTTCCATTCCAAAACCAAATGAGGCACTGGGGGAAGGGCAGGGATAAAAGCGCTTTTTTGTGCTGGGTCATTTCCATTCTGCCAAAAAAAAAATCAAGTTTTTCATTATGAGATAATCAATCATAGATTATGATTTTACAAGCTTCAAATAAAAGCTTTTCACTGAATTTATTGAGGTTGCTTCTGGAGGTCGGCTCTTTCACAGGGAATCCAGTCAGAAATAGTGCTGCAGACCAGCTTCTTATCTGCAAACTACCTGTGCTAAGCTTCAAGTTCTATTTTTCTTGTAGAAGTCAAACACAGGAGAGCATTACAGGAACTTAGAGATGGAACATCATCTCTGTGTTCCTCGGACTGGCTGTAGTACTGCTACATGGGTGAATGTTGGGGAAACAAACGTTAAAGTATCAAATTGAGCAGTAAGTTTGAATAGTTTAAGCTGAGCAGCAATGCACACTGAAAGGGGGTCCTTCTGATGCACTTAAAGAATCTCCATTTGTTACTGTGTTATGGGAAGTATGTGTCTGCTATTTCACTCACCAATTAAGTTTTTGCTTTGTTAGTGTTCAGTCTTTCAGATTGAATACTGGCTTATACTTCACAGCAGGGTATCATAAAGTAAGCCTGAGCTTTAGGAGCATGTTTACCTCTCTCACTGAAGGGAAGAGGGAACGATTAATTTTTTCTTCCCTAGGAATATTCACTTCAGAAACAAGGGGTGGAAGTTTTCTGATACCATGAATACTCTACTTACTGATTTGGCAAATGAACATTGCATCATAAAGTGTACTATAATGTTTTTCCTGGAACTAAGTTGTCAAATTGGTGTTTCTACAGCAGGAACTTTGACACAAACTACACAACTTGTGCTGCTTTGGAAGAAGGATTTTTATTTATTACCAATTATTATGGCTTTAGTTAACAGGCATTTCTCAGTCAAAGTTTAGATTTGCTATATAGTGCTATGCTTTGTGTTCGTATTTTCCTTGTAGCATTAAGCCTTTGGAAATATTGAATCAGAAAAGCCTTGTCCACTAGGACTAGCTCTATTTTCCCTTAGATACAATGGCCTAGTGTATCATTTCAGTTTCCCCCCCAAAAAAAACCTCAAACACCAATTGTAAACTAAAAGTCATGGGGTGTGCCTTAAGTACAGTGAAACTAAAGGTTTTTTTTTCCACCCTGCATTATTTTCAGAAATGAAGGACCAAGTACTCTGTTTCAACTACTTCGATAACATGGAGCTAGGAGGCTTATACCTCTATCAAAATTGTTTAAGCAGCATGAAAGTTGCCTTTAGATGCAAGATATATCATCAGCTTGTAGGACACTAAAGCTTTTTTTTCTTCTTCTAATTGCATCTGCAAATTAAATGTCAACCCTGCCCATCTTCCCCCCTCCCATACATAGGATTCACCGCTTCAGCCCATTTCCTGAGGAAGGATGTAGATATTTATGCCCTACAGTTTACCTTAAGGGTTGTTAGATGGGATTTTCTGAACTAGAATGGGTGAGCAAAGAGCAAAAGGAACTTCCAGGACAGAGAAACATCGTCTCCCCTCTCAAACAAGTCTAGGGACTCTTAGTAACTTTAGCAGATCCACTGAGGGGCTAGAGTACAACAAATGAGGTAGCTCCTTTAACATGGGCAGGTTTCCAATGATTAGAAAACACATCTAATACTGTCTTGAATTATATGCATGTAACCTGCCAGCCACTGTAGTCCATGGAACAGTTATAAAATGCTCAAGCAATGGTTTGCTTGCTGAATGATCAGCCATATACTGAATTAAGTGATGTCTGAGTGGTGTAGGTGGTGATAGATGCTAGATAAGTAGTTTTCAAATAAGTGGACAATTCTGATGAGTGGGGACTAGATCTACTGTAAGTCAATTTAAGTAACAGCAGAATGTAACCCCTAAGAAGTTTGGGCCTCAACATTTTGAGGTAGTGATGGAAAAATAAGTTCCCATCCCATTGTGTAGAGTAAGTCTTAAATTCTGCTTGCAACACTACTGAGTCTAAGCTTCCAGAATTGTATGCATGGTATTCTAGTGGTAGGAAGGAAGGGCTGTAGTTTGGGGGAGGGAAAGAGAAGAAGCTGCTTTTGAAGAAATGCCTTTGAGGGAGTAGTAGTCTTGGACAAGAGGTTTTGCATAGTACATGTATCAAGTAAAACTTGGGACAAGTTTACTAGAGGAAAACATGTGTCAGGTCTGTTTGAAAAATCAAGTTTTTAACAAGGAGAAATTGTGAAGTCAAGCTCTGTATCATGTATGTGCTAAACCAGTTTTAGCCATCTTCCAGCCTCCATTTGTTTTCACCAAATAATAGGATGACAGAATAGAACCCATTGCTTGCTAAAATGACATCTGGTTCTGAAGTAGGTATTAGTTGTTAATGTATCTATGCTCTGAAGGCATCAGTATTGGTAGCAGACATTGACATCTTTAGAATGCCTCTTGCTGAATGAAAGTAGTGTAGTGTGGGGTTCAGATTACTTAGTATAAACTTTTTTCTTCCCCTACTTTAATGGATTCTTCAGTGGTATTTGTGTGAGGATGAAAATCAGAACTATAACTGGCTTATTGTATTCATGTTACGGTAAAGTACTGTTTAAGTGGGAAAATAAAAGATGCATCGAAAAGTAGTATTGCATTGCAAAAAAACTAAAGATTAAAAAAAAATCAAATTATTACCTCTCTGAAGTCAGGAAGGAAACTTAATGAGGTTTATCTAATGGATAGCAGGCTGTATCCTAATGTGGAGTGTTAATTTTTGGAAGCATGAAAATAATCTTAATTTGCCCCTCCACAATGCTGGTGTAGGTTATATTATGGAAAAAGCATTAGGATTCTCTTGCTCAAAATAAAGCGTACAGAATAGTAGTTAAATAGAAGTGATATCTAGAAATTTAGTTTTGATACCACCAGTTTAAAATCTAAACCGAATTACAGTGTTCAGATAAATAGCCAAAGACATTTTAAATGCACTAATCTACCTGTATATTTTCATAGGAAGGATGAGAGTGTGAAGTTTCCTGAAGATTTTTCAGTTACTCTTCCTAATCTGCTTAAATTCATTTTACATTACTCAAGTCTACCTTCAGCTGCACCTGACTCAGAGCCCTGCACCAAAGAATGTCCACAGAAAGAGAGTGTGTTACAGCAAGAGCATATCTCCCACTTAAGGAGTGAGATTCAGAAATTGAGATCAGAAGTCAGTGCACTACACCAGGCTCAAGATCAGCTGGAAGCCCAACTTTCTGAAGCCAGAAGAGAAGAACATAAACTACAGCAGCAGAAGCATACACTGGAAAAGCAGCACAGTATTCTCCAGCTCCACAGTGAACAATTACAGGCACTATCTGAACAGAAGAACAGAGAATTAGAAGAAATGGCTGAGAAGCTTCAAGAATTAGCAGATGCATCAGAAAACCTCCTTACAGAGAATGCTTTACTAAAAGTCCTGCTAGCATCAATGGAGGGGAAGCTAGAGAACAAAGATGAAACCAAGAAATCCATTCAGTCAGAGGAGACTCTTTCCACCCACAATACTGGCCCAGTTCTAACTGCTATAGACAGATTACATGAAAGAGAAAGGCTTGATGTTTCCAATATTGATACCACAGTGATTGAGCATAAAGAAAACAGGACAGAATAATTATTTATGCTATGGGGGGGTTGGGGAAAAAAAATCAGGAATGACACTGCATTGGGAAGGTATTTATGCAAATTTTATTTGTTGTAAATAAAATATTTTCCAATTGTCTAGAAAAATCAAACCAGAATTTCTGCAATACTTCAAACAATTTACCAGATCTTGAAACCTAAATGGAGATATGGAAAACACTTTCCACTTTGATTGCACTAATTTGATAGCCATTTTATTAATTTAACCTAGGTTAAAAACAGTAAATTCCCAGGGAAAGCAGAGTGAAGCATCTCCTACCAAAGGACCAATTTTTGCACTGGCTTCTTCCCATGTCTCCCAGAGGAAGTGTTCATTTAGGAACTTTGACAATATATACTTTTCTAAGAAACAGCTGAAGTTAGCCATCTTCACTGCATTTTGCCTTTGTTTACAGAATTGGCTGGAAATGATGAATTTGTTTATTTAGTAAACTTGAATGAAAAGTCAAATGGTTAAAATATTCTGTCATTCCTGTTGTAGGATTTCAGCAACTCTGCATACCACTTTTACATGTGCCACAATTAACCTACAATTGTCTTTGAAACGTAAGGTAGGGAACAGATTTTTATAGATGTTTCATTATGGGGAACAAAAGGCAGAATAATCTCATCCAACCTCCTTATGCATCCGACTAGTGTTCCTTCTGCCTGCTGTCCACCCCAAAAAACCCCACAAGTGGGGGAAGGAGAATAAAGTTTGGCATCCCAAACAAGCAAAGTCTTACTTATTGATTGCCCAGCATATATGCAGTTAAGAATCCAGTGTGCATGTATAGGCCAGTGCCTCAAACCATGGGCTGAAAAATTAAAATTGGCATCTTTGGAGCCAGTTAGTATACAATACAGTGTTTGCCCCCTCCCTAGGCAGTTGTATTCCACACTGCACTTAGAGGAAGGAAGCGCTTGTCCATTAGTAGCAATGGATTTGCTTAGCCAAGCTGTGGCCTTTGCAGTGAAAGACACTTCATTTTCTAGCCTCAGTTTAATCAGTGCACACAGGAATAAGAATGCAACTCAGCAGCTTGTCCTGGAGGGAGCTAGCAATTTAGTTCATAAGTGAACTATCATTTGCTTGCAGACAAAGTCATTAAGGCCTAGCTAGCTAAGAATAAATAGTGTTATTCGCGATGTATCAGCCGTCATTCACACCAGTGTTTAGCAAAATAACTGTCCCTGTCCCCCCCACACAGATGGGGGTGGTTGACCTTTTGCATCATCTACTACTTGTGCACACACACCCACACACACCCCCTCTCTGCATCGCAGTTTGCTAGGGAGTTTAACTTAAACTAAAGGAATTCCTTAGCTACATATGAACTGGTAAAAGCTGGGTAGTTAGTGGAATATGCAGGCCTAAAAATTAGGAAATCTAGAACATTTTAGCCATGGTTGAATGATTGTTCAGAACCTGTGGTACTGTTTACAGCCTATAATTTTTCACTCCCAGTACCAGTTATAGGTTTCTCTGTAGTACAGAGAAGGGAAAGGTTAGGAAATGAGGGGCCTTTTGTGTGAAGGTACTTCAGATTACACCAAAATATTTTTTTAAAAAACCCTATACCTACCCACAAACAAGCTTTTCCCTTCCCTCTTTCCAACACACCCAAAATTTAGTTAGCTGTTACAAGACAAATTTCAGTCTGACCTGTAAGTTAAGAATCCAAAACACCTTATCTACAAAATACATTAACTGTAGACAATTTGGTATCTAGACTAAAAACAGTTTGCACAATTGGCTGTTTAGCTTCATGTTTACATATGCCCCAACTACTAGGTACACATATAAACAGTGGTTATGGGGGAAAAAAGAGGAATAGTTACATTAATGCCAGTTCTAGTGAAAACACCACTTCTGTAATTAACATGCTTGCTAACAGGAGGGAAAGATCTGCTCTACTGCTATTTTTAACTCCACTGGAAACCTTCTGGACCATGCATGAAGTAGCCATCATTAGTTCCCAGATTGGAATCTGCTAAAACAGCAGTTTCCTTGCAGTAGCTACATGGCTAGGACAATCACAGTATTAGCTGCTAACAGCTTAATCTACCCTAAAGGAAGAGAGGTACAGTTCCTTCCTTATAACCCCTATCCTTTCTGCCTCAATTACCTTAATGAGATTATATATACCTGCATTCAGAGAGAGTGTTCTGAATCAGTCCCATAAGAGGTTTAAAACCAAAAAATAAAAAGCAACCATTCTGTCTTTATGGTTATGCACTCAGAACTTCATAGCAGAAACAGACTAACTGCAGATTTGGTTTTGAAGGTCTGGCATCCAATCTGTAATCATGTGGCTCAGATGTCCAAATGTGTTACTAAGAATAACTTCATACCACTTCCATATGCTGGATAACAAAAAGCCAGAACTCCTGGCAACCTATTTACAGTTCACAGTTTTAAGTAGTTCACATTACAGTAGCAGTTCCATCAAAACAGGCTCAGCTAAACATTCAAGTAACAAAAATGCTATTAGTCTTTTCATGCCAGCATATGCCTGCACGTCCATTGCCAGCAATGGATTTTATACCAGAGAAGTCACCTCTTAGCACTAAGGAGTTAAAATACAGGATTGATGGATAGTATAGTTTCTCAGTGCATGCAGTGGCAAACCAATAAAACCATAACTTTGAAGTTTTATCTCAAGGTGTTTTAAGAGAGAGCAGTATGTATGTCCAATTTCTTCACAGTATCAGTTCTGCTGATTACAGACATCTTAAGTGTAGTCCAGATACACATCTGTGCTGCTCAAAGTTAGCTATGAATTTCTGTGCCATTAGGAGTCAGCTTTGCTTTTCTCTCTACACAAGGTCCTTTAGCAGAATACTGCACCAAAAGGAAAGGCTCTTTGGTTTCTCCTTCTCCCACAATGCTCTCTTCATCTTCAGACTGGCTGATCCTTTGCAGACGCAGGTAACACCAGCAGCCCAGTATCAAGGCACCAAGAGCAGCAATAGCAATCAGAATGACTATTACAGTCACCACTCCAGTGGTGGGGCTGTGATCCATAATAGACATGGTCAGTATTTCAGGTCAATTCTCCGATCTTAAAAGTGGTTCTTCAGTCCTTGCTATCAGTTTTGAGATGTCTGAGGCGGCATCTTGGAACTCCTGAAATACAGAAATAAGATGAGTAATGCAATTGTACATGGATATTACAGTTTTGCCTTATTCAGTAGCTTTAGTGTTACGTGGCTGGTGCTACAGATTCTGGCAACCCACCCTCTTGCTGATCTGTACATAAGTTTGCCATTTTTTTGGTTTTGCTCATTTGTTTGCCTGGGGAAAAAAATATTAGCCCTCTTTCATATAAAGCCTTTCAATTTGCATGGTCATATATTAGAAGTGTTAAAACTTTTTATTCAATATGATTTTGCCTTCGCTTAAACGCACAGGTTACGTGTGGTACATTTCCTACTGAACCAAAGTCCTGAATGACTCAGATGATCCTGAATGCTTATGAATCAATGTTGAAAGCACAAGATGAGGTATTAGTCAGTGTCTGGTACAGATCACTAAATCACAAGAGTGAACAGGAGGATGACTGCCTCCTTATGCACCTTTCTACAATGAGAATGGAAAAAAGACTGATCATAGAGGACGTCAATGTGACTGACATATTCATACTTCCAGTACTGAAACATCCTTGGAATTTCTAAACATTATAGATAATTTCTGAACTCAAAGGGTTGCAGCCAACATGGGGGGGAATTCTATATTACACCTTGTTGGAACCGAGAGGAACTGATCACCCAACTAAAAATGAATGGTCATTTCCTGTACTTCTACACTACATTTAAAAAAAACCCCACGCACCCTCTGGATGGAGTCTCAGAGCCAGAGTCTATTGACTGGTTTACAGGGCTTGGGCTGCAGGGCTAAGAAGAGCAGTGCAGACATTAGAGCTCATGCTGGAGGCAGGGTTCTGAGACTCTCCTTCACATGGGTTTCAGAGCCCAGGCTCCAGTTAGCGCCCAAAACATCTGCACTGCAATTTTGAGCCCTGAGCCATGTATAGCCAAATAATGAAAAAGCACAAGTCACTGATTCAGATCTAGATTGCTTACACCAAGTCTACCCAGCATACACGATGCATTTTAATATGGCTACATGTAAATGTGCACATCTGGGAGAATGTAGGCCATATTTACAGGATGGGGGACTCTATCCTGGGATGTAGTGCCTCTGAAAAAGATTTGGACATTGTGGATAACTATGAGCTCCCCCTGTGATGCTGTGGCCAAAAGATCTAAAGCAATCATAGGATGTATAAACAGAGGAATCTTAAGTAGGATTAATGAGGTTATTTTACGGATATGACAGCTGCTGGAATATTGTGTCCAGTTCTGGTGTCCACAATTCAAGAAGAACGTGGATAAATTGGAGAGGATTTAGAGAATGATTAAGGGTTAGAAAACATGCCTTATAGTGAGACTCAAGGTGCTCAATCTATTTAGCTAAACAGAGAGATGGTTAAGGGGTGATTTGATTACAGTCTTAAATGCCTGTATGAGGGACAAATATTTAATAATGGGCTCTTCAATCTAGCAGAGAAACCTATACAACATGATTAGGACCGTACCAAATTCACAGCCGTGAAAAACGTGTCACAGACTGTGAAATCTGGTCTTGTGTGCTTTTACCCTATACTAGACAGATTTCACAGGAGAGACCAGCATTTCTCAAATTTGGGGTCTTGAACCAAAAGGGAGTTGCAGGGGGGTCACAGCATTGCCCACCCTTACTTCTGCGCTGCCTTCAGAGCAGGGTGCCCAGAGAGCTGTAGCTGTTGGCTGGGCGCCCAGCTTTGAAGGCAACAAAGCAGCAGCATAGAAGGAAGGATGAAATACCACACCATGCCACCCTTACTTCTGCGCTGCTGCCTTTGGAGCTCGGCTGCCAGAGAGTGGCGGCTGCTGACTGAGGGCCCAGCTCTGCAAGCAGGAGCGCAGAAATAAGGGTGGCATGGTTTGGTATTTCACCCTTACTTCTCCGCCGCTGCTGGCGGTGGCTCTGCATTCAGAGCTGGGCTCCTGGCCAGCAGCCGCCGCTCTCCAGCTGCTCAACTCTGAAGGCAGCGCCGCCGCCCGCACCTGCACAGAAGTTAGGGTAGCAGTACCGCAACCCCCATTACAATGACCTTGTGACCCCCCCACCCAAACGCCTTTTTGCGGCAGGACCCCTCAGATTACAACACTCTGAAATTTCAGATTTAAATAGCTGAAATCATGAAATTTACAATTTTTAAAATCCTATGACCGTTAAATTGGTAGGGTCCTAAATACGATTCAATGGCTGGAGGTTGAAGCTAGATATTCAGATGGGAAATCTGGTAAAGTTTTTAAATGGTGAGTGATTCGCCACTGGAACAATTTGGGTTGTGGTGGCTTCTCTTATCACTGGCCATTTTTAAATCAAGCTTGGATGCATTTCTAAAAGATCTTCTGCTGGA